AGTTTCAATGAGGGCAAATGCCGGGGGCTGCTCTTGGGCCACAACAACCCCCAGCAGCGCTACAGGCTTGGGGAGGAGTGGCTGGAGAGCTGCCAGTCAGAGAGGGACCTGGGGGTGTTGATTGACAGCCGGCTGAACAGGAGCCAGCAGTGTGCCCAGGGGGCCAAGAAGGCCAATGGCATCCTGGCTTGTGTCAGCAATAGCGTGGCCAGCAGGGACAGGGAAGGGATCTGACCCCTGTACTCGGCACTGGTGAGGCCGCCCCTCGATTCCTGTGTTCAGTTTTGGGCCCCTCACTGCAAAAAGGACATTGAATGACTCGAGCGTGTCCAGAGAAGGGCAACGAAGCTGGTGCAGGGTCTGGAGCACAGGTCGTACGGGGAGCGGCTGAGGGAACTGGGGGTGTTTAGTCTGGAGAAGAGGAGGCTGAGGGGAGACCTCATCGCCCTCTACAGCTCCCTGAAACGAGGGTGCAGAGAGCTGGGGATGAGCCTCTTTAACCAAGTAATAAGTGATAGGACAAAAGGTAATGGCCTCAAATTGCTCCAGGGAAAGTTTAGACTGGATATTAGGAAGCATTTCTTTACAGAACGGGTTCTTAGATGTTGGAATGGGCTGCTCAGGGAGGTGGTGGAGTCCCCATCCCTGGAGATGTTTAAGAGTTGACTCAACTTAGCGCTGAGGGGTATGGTGTAGTTGGGAACTGCCTAAGTTGGGAACTAGAACTAAGTTAGCAGTTGGACTAGATGATCTTCAAAGTCTTTTCCAACCTAGTTGTTTCTGTGATTCTGTGATCTTGTCCCAGGGTAGCCTCTGCATTCCTCCAGTCCCGAGGCATTTATTGGTAGCCTTTCCATTTTGAATTTAACTCTGTGTATGAAACACTACTAAATGCATAGCTTAGTTTCTTCAAAGCCCAGAGATGGTATTCAGTTGTACTTGAGCTGTGTTTGGTTTCTTTAGGGAAAGAGGAATATAACTTTTTCATGTATAAACAAACTGTTGTTCTGCTAGAAACTAAATGTGGGAAAAGCAGCTTCTCTGCAAGACTACCATAACATCTCATCCTTGCTTACCTACAAACAAGGTAGAAGTGCTTTAGTATTATATTGCCTTACTTAAATTGCTGCTAGAGCCTTGGGCTAAGGTGAAGCTGCAGAGCTGGGTAGCAGGTGGTATCTGAAGAGAGAACAATGTCTGTGATTAGGCAGGCAAATATCTGGTTAACAGTGTTTGCTCAAACTTAACATCTTTTCTAGCTGTGCAGGAAGTTCACTCCCTTATGATTCATGATGTGCACAATCTGTGGTGTTGATGCTAAATAAGTTACCTGGGAAAGCTTTACACACACTCTCTAACCTTATCAGAGGAGATTACAAAATGATTAACGGTAGGAATTGTGATGGTAATGCTTTGCTGAGGCTTGCCAAGCCTTCCTGAGCCACTTTGTGACATTCAGTTGAACTTGTCAATAATTGGTTCACGCACCCTTGACAGAAGTTACCTACCTTCATGCCAGTCTCTCAAACACCAGCTTTTAAAATGGCGTAAACGATTTAAGTAGGAACGTCTCAGTTATCCTGAGTTGTTAAGGGCAAATGAGTACTTGTTCTGGAACAGCGGTATCTTCAGTTTTAGTCTCTTGCATAGTGAGCAAAATCCCACTGCTACTTGTCTCTGGAGCAGGTGCATCCTTAGGCTTCAAGTTCTCTTCACTACTGGCTTACAGCTAATACCTGCAGTAACAACCAAGGTATACCTGTAACAGTTGAATTTACTAAGCAGGACAAGAACAAAGCATGCACAATAACTGCTCTAAGCCTCGTAACAGAAGTCTAAACTTAAGATGCTGCTCCAAAATGTGTGCCTTGCACTGGGAAGGCAGGGTATATCTAACAAGGTATGGCTCAATGGCTCCAGTTCTGCCTTGAGCCAGCTGTATGTTATCTGAATTACCAGGAAGAGTGAGAAGCAGGAGGGCCATGCACAGGGATATTTTGGTCATGGGAGGGACATTTAGAAAGGCCTCATAATAAAGCCTATTTTCATAGCGTAGAGAAATCTTGATTCCTGCCATTGCTTAGCTATGTTCAGGTTGTGAAGAACTGCTAAACTTGTCAAAAAGCTTCACGCTGCAAAGCAAAAATTTTCTTTCCAGTTCTGTGTGGCTGCTGTCTTCCATTCACATCCTGCTTTGTTTCCTTGGGGCTATGACTTTAATTTGTAAAGTCCCTTGGAGAGAAATTGATTCCTCCTCCAGACACACCACTTCTTCAGACTGCCTTCAGGCGGTGTGAGGGGAATGCTGCCCTGCTCTGCCCTTAATCCCTGGGTGTGCTAAGGAGCTAATGGGGAAGAAGCGGATAAACTGGCTGTTATGGCTGGCAGGAGAGTACTTCTCTTCCCTGAAGTGGATGAGTTGGGGATGACAGGTAGCCTAGAAGTTGTCCTGTGACAGGTTTGCATGGGTGAACTGCAGTCCTTTCTCCCTACAGCTGGATTGGCTTGTACTTCAGGATGAAGAACATCAAACTTCCCTAGGTGATGAGGAAGAAGCTTGTTCAGCAAGACAGCTTCCTTCATCTCCAGGAAGGATTAGTAGCTGAGAAGGATTAGTGGCTGAGAATGAGTGAGGAGCAATGCTTCCACAGACTCCTGCAGGTAAGGGAGCAGGAGGCTGATGTGTTTAGGCAGCTTGTTTGGGAGGTGCTGTAGCAGCTCAGCTCTATGGCTATCATAGACTAGATTATTTTGAGCAAAGAGGGTAGTTTGAAGTAAGGAGTGCTTGCGTGGTCCCTCTCTTGGTATTTGATCTTAAGACAGTAATATTTCTAAAAACTAGAGAATTGTCCTGAGTGACTTCTGGGCTTGTGCTCAGGCTATGCATAAACCAAGGCAAAAGCAGAATTCAGCCTCTCACATGGAGACTCGGATTTGTAACTCTGCAAACCTTCCCTGTAAGCCAAAGCTATGTTCTAGTGGTGGGCAATGTCCTGTCCTTGTCTCTGTGACTGCACTGAAGATGTGTCGGAGAGTTTGGCCCATACACACGTCTGTCTGTAGTGGTGACAGGCTGGATCAGTGGTCTTAGACTGGCAATCCAGATGTCTTCAGGGACATGAAGCCAACTTTTGCACAAATAAGATGCAGGAAGTGTACCAGATTTCTTTGAATGGATAGTATGAGGTAAAACTGAATGCAGGGAGTTTCCTGTAAATGACAAGAATGTGTTGACTCCAGTAAATGCCCTTGGCCAGGAAATAGTATTGGTGATTGTTAGCAGGGATAAACAGATCTTCACAAGGGTTTCTTTTTCCTGTAATAGCTGCTTTCAGTTGTCGTAGCTTGCTACCATTGGTTACCTTTAATGATTCTCTGGGGTCGGGAAAGAGGCCTAGATGGTAGCTTCTCCTTCACCCTCTTTCTGTGTTGGGAGAGCGATGGTAGAAAACACCCAGTGTGCCATATTGGATAATGTCATTTTGTCTAACCCAGTTAGTGCAACCACTGCCTGAGCCTTTTGTACAGAAGGCAGTCCCTGCCTGCTGAGTTACACAAGGAAAGGCTGCAAAGAACTGGTAGCTATTCATATTACCGTGCTTGTTAATTAGGGAGTATATTATTACTGTAGCCACGTTACAGTTCTCTGCTTCCTCTGGATGCAGTGAATTTTAGAATCTGTGACCAAAGCTTTGTCCTTTGTCAGGTGAACTTTGCAGTGTTTCTGGCAGATGCCACAGCCACGTGTCAGAAATGCAGAGGGGCATTATAATTTCTTTTCAATGGATTCAGAAAATAGGAGATACCTGTGTTTCAGGCTCTGGCACTCTTTGTTGTTAGGAGTCTGCAGGGAGTCTGCACCAGAAACCAACGTATGCCTGCAGCTTAAAGGAACTGCTCTTTAATTATCTGGAAGGTCTGTTCCTGCACGCACTGATTTCAGTGGAAATGTGAAGTTAAAACTTCAGAAGTGGTACACTTTCTGCTTGTATCCCCAGGGAACATATTGTCCAGCTTGACTTGGGTATGCTGCAAGGCTCCTTCACTTCTACAGCTTTGAGCAGAGGGAGGGTGGTGTAATGTCTCTGGCTCTGTCTTAAAACCTCACTCTTACAGTGGAGAAAAATATTAATTTCCATTTGATTATGCTCCTCTGCATCCAGGTTGCAGTGAAGAGCCTAGGTGAAGGTGTGGGGTTGGGAGGAAATTGTTGCTCAGCTGTAAAGGTACAGTGCCTACACTACACTGTAGTGCTACACTGCCAGTAAGGTTGTTTTTTCAGTGAAAGATTCTGACCTTGGAAGAAAAAAAATAGTGAAGTACTTGCAAAACTGTGCTGACTGTCTCTGTTAGGCAAGAAACACTTCTGCCTCCCAGGGTTAATTTTATGCCTTCAGCATGATGTCAGATAGCTTACGTAAGTTGACCTTTCTTTATGGTATACGTGTCAAAACATAAATACGTTTCATCAGGACAGTGAGTTTCAGTGTGACCAGTTCTTAGTGTAACTGGCTGCCCTAAATGATGCTGGCTGAAACAGCAAGGACCATAGGGCAGTGCACTTCAGTTGTGTTTTTTTTTTGGTTTTTTTTTTTTTTTTAAAAAAAACAAGCAAACGAACAAAAACCTCTCATATCCAGTTATGTTTAGCCTCGTGGGCAAAAATCATAATGCATATTAGCACGTTCATTAAAAAACCTAGGTAGTGTTTATAGCATAGCCTTCAGAGACGAGTGCTGCTCTCCTATTGGTGAGCTCACACTACAGTGTGACACCTGGGCAGCAGAGACCGAGTTCTGGCTCGTGGTAGTTACACTGGTGAAAGCAGCTGGAGAAATAGTTATGCACACAGAATTTTCCATTAATCAGAGGAAAAAGTCCTACACAGATGGTATATAGGATAGATTATGGCTAGTAATCCTTTTGTGTCCTAGAAGATTAAGGATATTCTGGTGTAGCTGCAGTCAGCTGACCTTTTTTTTTTATTTAAATGATTGAAAATTCTTGATGCAATTCTGCAGAGGACCAAGGCTCTTCCAGAAGCGGCGAATGGTGTGCTGTGGATGTTTGTTAAAGGAACGGTCTGTTTAAGTCCAACCCCAGTTATAAATTTACAGGAACTTAACTTTGTGCCATGTAAACAGCAGAAGCTGTAAGAAACCACTTGCTAGATGGCTCTATCAAATTTAACAGAGGTGTAAGAGAGCTGAATTTTGAGGTATAGCGAGTGTCATGTGAAGAAACGGAGGGCTTCTGACCTACTGCCGGGGTCACCCCAGAAGGTGAAAATGAATGCTTTGGTGGAAGAAGAGGACGGCTGTGTGCTCTGAATTTTCTGGCATGGATCTGTATGAGGATTACAAATCACCTTTTGATTTCAATGCTGGAGTGAACAGAAACTATCTTTACCTGTCGCCTAGCATAAACCTTTCTCCACCTGGATCCCCTACACTGACCAAGTCTGGTAACTTCCCTCTCTTTCTTCTTCAAAACCTCTACATGGAAAGCTTAGTTATTCCTATCTGTAAAAAGGAACTTCTCAAATTAAGAATCTGTAAAATTTGGCTGAAACACAGGTGTAAATGAAGGTAAAATCTGACCTGCTGTTAACTTGGATAGTTTATTAGCTTTGGTGTGTCATGTAGTTTAGCTAATCTCATGTGCTATGCATTTACCAGCTTTACCTTATTTGTTATTTCTAAGGCAGTTTGAGGGGAAAATTGAGTGAACAAAAAAAAAATTAGGAACAAAAGGAAAACTTCTGCAAGACTGAAGTAATTGGCCTAGTTTGACTATTAGGTTTGGTTTTTTTTTTTGGGGGGGGAGAGCTCGGGATAGTCTAACATCTGCTCTTGCCTTAGTACTGAAAATATCACCAATTAAGGAAAATGCCCTCTAAAACCTTTACTCTGTTCCATCTATCATTTAAAATGCTGTAAATCTTAATGCCTTCAGATGCTAACTGTACTTGCACTCCCCAGAGGAAGCGGCTGTTGAGTGCTGTGCTGCAGCAGCATCTGTCTAGTGCTTAACCCTACTAGTTTTTAGCTGGTAACCTGTTGTACAGAACATCTACAGCCATGCCTCCCAGCACATCTTAGCCTGGTTTTAACACCTTTCTTTTCCATTTTGTGCTGCTGGATGTGATCTTACAGAGCAATTCAAAGTATAGAAGGCTTAGCCCTGCTTCAGGTGTGACAAAGCAAATCGAAGTTACAGATCACTGACTTTGGTTTTGATGGGCTCATTCTTTAAAGTTTGAAAGAAATGTGCATCCCTTGGGGAACCTCTGTGTTAACTAAACCAAACCCCTCTGTGAACTCGATGAGCTAGGGGCCTCTGGGAAACAGCAGTCAGCTTTCAATTCTACAATTACTGCATCTTCCCACCTCTTCTAAAGGAAGGGGAGCAGTGCTTTGTGTCTGGTGGTGATGCATCACCATAAACACCAACATTTGCTGGGCTTTTTTTCTTTTTCATTCACTTTGAGTGAATATATGATTACTGTTTGGGAGCAGCCTAAGAACTTTCTCCCCTGAGTTGAAGAAATATATCTAGTTTTGTTTTTTTTTCAGTAAGATAAATGGGAAATACTTAACTGTGATCTTTCTTATATATTGCAAAATAAATATCGTCTGTGGCACTGTACATCACTCAGATGTTGGTGTGATTTTATAATCTTGTAACAGCTTGTTCTCCTGAACTCCAATTGCCTTTTTTCTTTAGCTTTGCCAACTGTATAGTGATAGCCAAAACGCTCATTCTGAGTGTCTGACACACAATATGTCTGTGTAAAGATAAAGCTTTGTGAAGGCTAACCCTCCCCCAGCCCAAAGGCCACTCATCTGAAGTGACCAGTACTTCCTTAAACTGCCAGTGCTTACTGCTAATCACTGAATTCAGGCCAGAAAGAGCCAATGAACTTGTGTTGAAATCAACCAAAGAAAACCACAAACCAGGAAACCTGAGTATAAATTGAATGACTCTTTGCCTACCCTGGCAGTAGAATAGAGACTGAAGTGCCCCTTCCCTGAACGTGATATGTGGAGTCCTAATGAACTAACTTGTTCATGTCTTTATTTGGTTCATTTAAGTAGATCTAATGAACTGCTGGGATAGATAATATGTTAATCTTAGAAATACAGACACCTTAAAACTAGATAAATTTTCCCAATACTAGGTAAGTATTCCCAATATTTTTTCCCCCAACAGAATTTTTACTCTGCTTAAGAGTTTGAGATGTGAAATGCTCAGCTAAGCTTGGTTATAGCAGAGTACCAAGCGACTGTATTTTAAGTCCTTTGCAACACTGAAGATAAAAGGTAACAAGTTGGAAGCCAGTAAGAAAGTTCTGCTGGTGACCAGAGAAGACCACAGCTGAGAAATGCTCTTAATAACGGATTGAGCCAAAGTAATTCCATCTGTTGGCTGACTATTTCCCTGGTTTCTTGTCCCCCACCCCACAAAAATATCTTAAGGTGGGCTGTGTGCCTTTCCTTATAAAACTTGCTTAAAGTCAGGATTTTACTTTCTGTCAGCCCTGGTTTATGGGGTACATTTGGGTTCCAGCCATGCCATTGTGGAGGGCTGTGGGCTGTGTTTGCATGGACAACTGCTTCTTGAGGCTACCTAGCACGGCCTTCCTATAGTGCAGATGAACTCTGTGTCCTGCAAGTATTGAAGTGAACTGAGGAATGGGGCCCAAGTGAGAAAAGAGGTGAACAGTATGGGATGAGAGGGGAGGTGCCAGAATAAGGACTGGTGGGAAAGTGTTTGAATACTTCAAATAGAGTTAAAGTAAACAATGGGAGCGGGCAAGAAGGTGAGGAGGGAAGAGGAAGGCATGGTTAGATGTACAGGGTGAGGTATGGAGAACTCTGAGTAGCAGTGATTTCCTGTTTTCCAGAAAGATCTAGAAATGGGAAGGGGAGGAGAGATCGTTCCCTTGCTTCTTACCATTCTGTCTGAAGTTCAGTGTAAGCAGCAAGCAGCAAAAAGTTTCTTAAAATGCTGTTTTTCCAAAGAGAAAGTACATTCCCCAAACAGAAGCTTTTGCTGCAGGAGACAATCCAGCATGTTTTCCTACTTATAGATTGACTTGATCTATTTTTGGTGAGATAATCCAGATGATTCTTCATAACCAGATTGAACAGACTTTCAGCGGGATGTGCTAATGCTGATGGAATCAGTGTGGTCTTTGGTACTTGCAAAAGCCACTTCAGAAGTTTGCAAAGGCAAGCTCTGTAGTCCCTGCAGGTGGAGAACAAGGTCGGGTATTGGAGGCTAACATACTGGGGGTCATAGAATGTCAGGGGAAAATGCGATTTAAATTTTTAGTTTTCCTTCAGTGTAGGCATATGTGATAAATAGGAGTTTCACGAAAAGGTATGGCATTCTTAACTGTTTAATGTTAAGAAAAGGAAGTAGGTTGATATATAAGACAAAAAATATCTGATTGTGAGACATGAGCCATAATCCTTTTTTGGGGGATGGATTTTTTTGTTTGTTTGCTTTTTCTGGGGGGAAGGTTTGTGCTGTAGTGCTATGCTTTGGTTTGGGCATTAGACTCAAACTTTTTTGCTGCCCTGGATTTCTGCCAGAAAATAGTGTATTGGGAAACCTGTAGGAACTATGTTATGTTTTTGTAGAAGACGGATGTAAATCTCTGGGAAAACATGGTATAGATTTCATGAATAAATGCAGAGTGGGGTTTCAGTTGCTTTCTGTATGCTTCCTTGTCAGTGTACTCCGTGGTAACTTACCATTTACAAATGCTATGCCCATGTAGCAGCGTGATTCTAGAGGACGGGTGTTCTGGACACAAATACAGGGCAGAAAACATACTGTTTTGGAAGGAATTTGTGGAATTGACCTTTACCTGAGTTCAGGAACTTGATCAAGAAAAAAGCCTCTTCTTTTCTTAGGCTTGATGGGTGCTAGGAGCATGTTTCATAGAATACCTACAACTAATTACAGAGTCGCAGGATCTTTTTTTCCCTGACTTTTCAGTTGATTGTGATGTAGCTATTTGATATCAAGCCTCACAATGAAATCATAGTGGTGGTCTCATTGCACATTAATGAGTTTTTGGATTCCTAGACCAAATGGTAGTATGGAGTGCCATCAGAAGCTGCTGAAATGAGGATGGAATTTTATCTGGTTAATTACTACAGTGACTGGTAAAGGAAGATTACTTAATATGTCCTCAACTTGTCTGAATTATATATTTTTATATATATACATACACACACACACTCACAAACAATCCTCCTGTTTTTTTTCTCTTTAATGTCTGTAAAATTACCTCTTGAACAGAGAATTAGTTCTGGGAAACCACAACCATTCCAGCATTCAGTCTTTATGCATATTGGTTTCTTTGCAGATTAGAATAGGATTCCCTAATGCTGGCAAACTGTATGTTTAAGTGTCAGCTACACAGATTTAAAAGGGGAAATCTTGCTGGAAAACCTGTTTGTTGCATTAAAAGGTGTTTAAAGTGATCTTACTGCAAGCACTAAGGACTAAGAATTAATGAATCTTTAAAGTAAGCACATAATACCCTACTCCTTCCTTTGCCTGAAGCTGTGAAGGTGGAAGTTGAGGCAGACCATAGGGATATTTGGGATACATACAGAGGAGTTCAGCAGAGTTTTGGTTTCTGGATTTGTAAGGGGAAGAGACAGCAATGTGAGTGGCTGCACATCCTCATCAATCCCTCCTCAGTACTCTGCTGCTTCATTGGAAGTGACAACCTTTTGCTCCCAAGCTCCTTCTCTGGGCTTCCCACCTGTCTTAATGTCCAGGGTCAAAACAGCAGTCTAACTTATAATTCCATGATATCTGCAACTTTCTAGCCACAGTGGTTCACAGTTACTAGGCACAGAGAGGTTGGTCGGGGTATGGGAAGAGTTCATACTTGCAGTACAACCCTTTTCTCCACTGTTGCTGAGCTTGCTTGTCGCCATGACTGCTTCCAGTGTTCTGAGAATGGGCATTTTAAAAAATCTGATCCAGAAAGCAATGAGGGAGGGAGCCTCTGCTTTGTTCTTGAGCACCTCCAGCTCTTCCAGAGTTTCTGTGCCACATGAGTGACAGAGAGCAGGGTGTGTGTGTACTCCTGGGCAGAGGTTGTTTGGGTCGTAGTGTTCTGTGCCTTGGTTTCTATCAGAGTAGTGGGATGCATCGTTCCCAGTATGTTTCCAGTCTCCTATTATAGCAGCAGTTGCAATTCTATTGAGCTTTAATACAACTTAATAGAATGAAACAGTCAGTAAAATGCCTCTGGTTTCCTGTGTGCTGTAGTACTCAGGAAGCGTGACTTGGTGTTGCCTCATCAATTTTCTTTGTACACTGGCACAAAAGGGCTGTATATTAATGTTAGCTGCTGACAGACACATGATGATCTGACTTTTAATGGTTTATTCACCTCAAGGACTGCTGAGAAGTGACTCTATACCTGAGGTTGGAGAGGATGCTGCTGCTACAGTTGGTATGGCAGAAACACTCTCAGAAGAAGAACAGGATGAGCTAAGAAAAGAGCTTGCTAAGGTAAATTTATTGCAAATAGCTCTTAAATTGGTTTTGAGAATGAAAATCTGGGCTAATGCTGTCTTTGAACATATAGTTAATGCTTTGCATATTTATTCTGTGAGTATGTAAGGCGAGGTATAGCACTCTTGTGTATTGCGGGGAGGGAAAGGGTGTCAAGGAGAAAAGAACAGTCAGTTCTAGCTATGGGGAATTAAGCTAGAAGTGCTGAGTGTACAGATCTTAAACCAAGATGCACAAATGCCTTACCCTTTTTTTTCTCAAGAAAGAAGCAGGTAAATAAGCTGTCAAAAGAGAACATGTTGGAAGCCAAAACGAAGTACTGTCTCAACTGGTGTGGAGTAACTAAAGCTTTTGTTTTCATGAAGTAATACCTGTGTAGACACTGTTCTTCTAATGTCTAACCATGTAACTATTGTTGCTCATAGTTCACATAACAGATTTTTTTTTTTTTAAGAGCAAGTTGAAGTAGCATTTTTTGAAGAACAGTCAAATATTCAAGCCCAATACATGCATTTCAAAAGTTGTTGAAATCAAACTTTATTGAGTCTCCAGTCTTTTTTCTTTTATAGCTCTATGTGACTTTAGGACCTTACTAAAAGACATTAACTTAAGCCTAAGGTTGGCAAATGAAGATTAGCTGTGAAATAAACACATTTAATGCAGTCTTGGTTTTGGTAGTCCTGAGTACTACTTTATGCCAATCGGCTGAAGGTGGTGAGGGAGGGGTATGTCACGCTGGACATCGGACAGGTATCCAAAACAAAGGTGCATTGAAGATAGTGGTATTTACTCAAAGGAGCTTAAATGAGTGTGCAGTCTGATACTCTAAAGTAGGCTGGCCCAGTCTGGATGAGGAAGTAGGATTAGATACATGCCTTGCCTTTGTACATATTGCCTTAGTGCCTGTCACATCTGTATAGCCTACCGAATGGCATCATAAAACTATTTTGATATCTCTGATCATGATCTGGTCCTGCTTCAGTGAGAGACATAAGTGACCATCTGTGTAAAGAAGGCAGTATATAAGCAATTCTGGTTTCTGAACAGGTGCTGTGTTTTTGTTGTTGTGGGTGGGTTTTTTTGTTTGTTTGTGGGTTTGTTTTAACTGCTCAGTCTGTCATGATTTACACCCCCTCTCTTGGGAAGGCACTCTTGTGGCTGGATCCAGCCTGCAGTTGCTGCTGGCTTAAGCCAGAGAGGAACCTTTTTGTTCAAGCAAGGAAACAAAACGTGTGTGGATCAGACATGCTCTGAGCTTCTTGATACTGGTCATACATTGGTATCTCTTCTGATGTGGAAGGAGAACACAGGCTTGGCGATTGTCCCAGGTTTGGCTAGTCTTCAAGCTTCACATAGGCTAATGTTGTCTAAAGGTAATGATGTCCAACTGCACAGTCTTTTAGTTACCAACTTTCTTGTGCATATTCCAGTAATGGAGCTAGCTGCAGGTAGATTACTTTCTCACTAGCTCTTGTTGTGGACTACATTGGATTTCTCCTTCAGTATTTAGAAAAAAATGTGAGGCAATGTTAAAAATGCATTAGCCCTCCCATTACTGATGCCTACCTAGATGTTTTAATAAATATGTAGTTAAATGGCTGGGTGTATCACTTGGTAACTCTCTCCACTCTGCTGCCACAGGTGGAAGAGGAAATCCAAACGCTCTCACAAGTGTTAGCTGCCAAAGAGAAGCATCTAGCAGAAATCAAGAGAAAGCTGGGAATAAACTCATTACAGGAACTAAAGCAGAACATTACCAAAAGCTGGCAAGATGTTACATCAACTACAGCGTATGTACCGGTTCACAATGATTATCACGACTGTTAAGGTGAAAACTATGTCATTCCTGTGTCATGTCTAAACTTTGTGTTATCTACACTAGTCTCATTTCACAAGAACAGAGGGTTAAGTTGCACTAAAACTTATCTGGATAAATTGTCACAGATTTCTTTTAAAAAGGCTACTATTAGCTATACCATCTCATGCAAAATAATGATTAAGCATAATATGGGTGACTCTAATGCACTTTTTGTCTTGACAGATCTGAGATACCATTACTGATATACCAAGGTGTCCTAAATCCAACAAAATACCCTTCTTTTCCAGCCTGGAAAATTTTTGTAAACTGAGCTCATGCAGGAAGAGTGCAAAGTCACAGTTAATGTTAACACAGTAATGCCTTAAGGTCTAGAGTGACCTGCCTTCTCAAGATGTACCTCAAACTTTTTATGGTGGAGTTTGACAGAATCATTCAGTATAAGACTGTAGATGCTTTGCACAAAAAAATACACCTCTTGTTATTTTTCAGAGTTTGTGCATGGTGTTGTTTTCTTGATTTTTTTTGTTGTTGTTGTTTTTTGTTTGGTTTGTTTTTTAAAGGCCTACAATAGCAAGTAGCATCTGTTCTGTGGGTGGGTAGTAGGTACATGTTGGTGACCGTGATCTGAAGTCTAAGGTGGCAGAGATGCTGTATCCAGAAGGGACTGCAATGACTTAAGATAATCTCTTAAGTAGCTTGTCCATTTGACCCCAAAGTTGAAGTATACCCCTGGATTTGATTCAAATTTACATATGCTGAAAGGTTCCTTATGTGTTCTATTAAAATGACTATAGACTTAATCTTCTTTGAACACAGATACAAGAAAACATCAGAAACCCTGTCTCAGGCTGGTCAGAAGGCTTCTGCTGCTTTTTCATCTGTTGGTTCAGTCATAACCAAGAAGTTTGAAGATGTCAGGTAGGTTTCTCTAGATGTTCCCAAGTAGTTGCATTTTTCATTTAAGCAGGTGATCACTGGAATAAATTAATGCTGTTAATGTACCTAGCACTTCTAAAAGTTAATCTATCAAGAACCTGCAGCATCAGTTTCAGCAGAGCTGAGCAACTTGCTGCAAAATCTGGTTGTATGTCCTCACTGATACAGAAGAGTTTTGTGATGTGTATTTTTATGTACAAGAGAAGCAATGTATCCTATTACCTCCACTGCTATTATTTTTCTGGTAGGATTGCAGGTGGCAGTGTCTCTGTGTGATGCACATAGCATTGTCTTTTCTGTTCTCTTTCTCAGCTTGTGGAATACTGTGTTTAAACAACTGATTAACTGTTCGTGGTTTGGTTGTTGGTTTTGTGTGTGTTTGTTTTTTTTCCCTTGTGTGTGGATTTCTTTCAGTTATATTTCTTTGTAAGCAGTTCTACCTCATTGCTGTGGCTTGATTTTATTACTTTTTTAATAGACTGTTGGCACTTCTTAATTCTTAAATATTAGCATACAACATATTTTTGACTTTGTGTCAAATGACACAGCCCTTCATGCAAATTAGGTAAGTTTGGTTGTCATTTTTAACACTGTTGTGAGCTGCATGTAAAACTCTTCCTGGATGCAATCCAATTGTATACTAAGTCTTTATGCATCTATTCATCTCTGCTTGTAATATGTTGTGAATAGTGGATCAAATTTATTTTTCAGTTATTTGACAAATAAAAATTCACACATTCTAACAGAATATTGCTGCACTGGAAAGCAGTGTAATAAAATCAGCCCTCTGTTTTAGTGCTGCCATTAACCTCTTTCTTGCTTTTTTAAGTCTATTGGGAAAACACTTTGAGGTGCTTTTTCTTCAGATTTATCAGAACTTCCTTTTTCTTTTTAATGCTTACTCTGGCATTGTGCAGACTACAGGCATTTTCACATTCCTTTAGGTAAGGTGGGCACAAGAATTGTTTCTGAAACTAAGCATGTAGTCAGACTGTCTCCACTCAAATCTTTAAATAAGTTTTGTCTGTAAAAGATAATTTCTTTATTTCTCCAGTGTTAGTTAATGCAAATCTGAAGCTGTTTTAATGTCAGGGAAGATGTTTCTTCATGTTCACCTGGTAACTATCCCAGAACATGAAGTCTTGACAATACATAATAAATCAGCTAATCTCTTCCTTGTAAGAAAGGAATCTGTTAAAACGATTCTGCAAGTTTTTTTGTAAAGAGAAAGAATATAGTTTTGAGGTCAATGGCATGCAGAATTCCTCCTTCTCTTTGTCTGTACAGTGTTTGTGACTTGATAGAGTAGAAGTTTTCCCTTTTTTGTGTCTGTTACAATGGCTGTTTAGCATTGTGACTCTAATCAAATTGCTAGTCTAAATGTAAAACAGGTTATGCATTCACTGTTCATAGTTTTAGTAGAACAGTCCTTACCTTTGAGCTCATTACTTTAGCAGCTCCAGACACCGAGTATTTTAGTTACTTTGTTTGTACTGCCTTTTATCTGCCTAGTCTAAGCAAATACCCAATGTTTTCAGCAGTTTAAATTCCTGTGTAGTAGCTTCTGTCCATTGCCTCTCATCTCATCTGTACACACCCCTGAATCTGGCTTGATCTTTTTTGTACTCTCCCACTAAGTAGCTAAAGACAACATTAGGATCTCTATAAAGATGTAGCTATCTAGCTCCCACAATACTAAGAGCAGTGCTCAGATGCTGTTAGAACTCAGACTCTGAACGGAGCTCAGTTTTCTCAAGTATAAGAATATCAGCCTGTCTGAAATACCTCCCCTTTAACATCAGTAAGACAAAGGGAGCCTGGGTGATGTCTCTGTTGCTTTTGGATGCAGAGCTTGGCTGCTCACTGTTCACCTTTCTTCCTTAAGGCTGTGGTGTTCCCTTACTAGTGTTAGACTATTGCATTTGACAAGTACAAACTCGTAGCTCTCTTTGGTTTCAGGAATTCACTATCTCAAAAGAAGAGTGTCCTAATTACTCAAGTTAGTGGCTAGGTGGTGTTGAGTACTCTCTCTCAGAAACTGGGCCACTGGGAGGGAATGTAGCAACGGCGGAAGAGTCCACATTGTTGGTGTGCTTACTAGGAAGAATCATGGCAATAGAAGTTCAAGGTATTGTTACAAATTCAGGAGCAGCTGGGTATGAAAACAAAACAAAAAGAAGTGGGAAGAATCAGTGCTGTTCAAGATCTTAGTTGCACTTAAACAGGAGAAACCATTGAGATTTTGCTTTCATGGGGACCAAGTTCATTGAGGATTCAACCAGTGAATTCAGGTCCCAGGGTTATGTGACTACTCCAGTGGTGTCTGCTTTTAAGACTGCACAAATATGAACTTTAGAAAGTTTTAGATGCCCAAGTTCTTTCCTGGAAATGAGAATTGATGAGCCTGATACTTGAACAAATACCGAATATGCAGGTGCATTTTTATTCTTTAAACTCTTGTAGGGCTTCTTCATCTGGGCTTTGCTTTTCTTGCACTGTTTTAACTTAGGGACTTCTCAGCTGTAATGGCATGATTTCTTCTGTGTTGGACTATTACCACATGTTCCATGCAGCAAACATCACATGCAGATCTTCATTCTTGCACTGCAAAGTGATTTGGCAGGGAGTTGCGAAAGGGAGTAAGGCAGCTGGTGGAGCTGTGAACTTGGAAAGTACTGAAATAGAGAGGAAGAGAGAGGATTGGTAGTGCAAAGTCAGTGTATTATTGCTTCCTTTTTGTGTTTGTTTCCTCTGCTTTTTGTTATGCTGAAAATAAACTGTTCCTTCTTAGGTTTTTCTTGAGACGTTTATTCTTCTTTATAAGAAAGTCTTGAACTTTTGATGAACTAGACATCCTTGTTGTAGACAGCATCAGTATTATGTGCAAAACAGCAGTAGTACCTAGATGTAGCGCTCTGCAAACTTCCTGAGCAATCATGACATTGCACTTGGCTCCTCTTGCTCTGCATCCATATTACAGAGCAGAAGTCCTCATCTTTGCTCTGTTCTGAGATTGCAGAATAACTTTCTCTGCTTGCTTTGGAAATCTGATATGATCATGGAGTCCTAAATATCGTGTATCAGCTGGCAACCCAACTATTAACAAAAGCAACTAACTGGTGCTTGTGTACTCTTAAGCCCATGTCTTCCATGCAGGGACTCTGGCATACCTCCTTGTGCATTTTCAAAATGTGAGGCAATGTAGTAGCTATAAAAATAATTGAGGAAAGGATAAGAAAGCTTTTAATGCCATACAAAATATGTGGAAGGCTGGAGAGCAATTTATTGTGCCTTTTCTGGTTTTGTATTTTCTTAAAGCTAGGGGTTTGCTTGTGAGCATTGTAAAAAGGGCTTCTCTTCAAACCACCCAACTTGATGGCCCGGTTCAGTGAATGTGTTGCTGTGGTATCTGTCATTTGTGAAAAGAAATACAACTTCTCTTCTTTGTAAAGATTTTCAAGGCTTAATCATGCTTCTTTGCACTAGTTGAAGAATAGGTGATTTGAATTTAAAGAAAGATGACCTGCACTTAACTAATGCAGTTCTCCTGCAAACCAGATCATGTTGTGATAAAAGTACATACTATCTTATGGTGACATTTTACAAAATGGATACTGAGTATGCAGAAGTGTATTATACAACAGCAAGTAAATACTTCACAAATGTATAAATATTATTTTTTCATATTTATATTCATATTCAATTCATATTTATACACAAATGTATAAATATGTTTTTCCATTAAATGATTTCTATAAAATTAAACTGAACTTCCCTAGACACCTGTTAAAAGATCTGCAACACACCATAGGTTGTGGCTTTTCTGTGTGAGCAGGTCTACAGATTATAGATATGTATGGGGAAAAGAAAGTAACTTTCACCCTCTTCAGCCTTAAACTTCATGCATGGAGCTACTTCTTGCAGTGTGAGGGCAAGGGACTGAGCATGACTGGACGAAGAGAACGAGTTAGTATCAGCCTAGTTCTGTACAAAAATTTGGCACATAGTAAGTCCAGAACTTGTAGTAATCTGCATCATAGAGCTCCAGAAAACAATCAGCTTCTACGTGCTCTGGAAAAGTTTGTGCAATCCAAACCGTCCATGAAGATGAAAAACAGCAGAAATGGGGTTGCGGAAAGGGATGTAATACGGCCACGTGTTACTGACATGTGTCAGGACAGCATCTGGCCTTAGTGTATCTGATTCCCAGTACACTGTACCTACAAACCAGCCTTCAGTTGTACATCTGCTTTAAGGAATCCCAACTTCAAGGGAACTTTTTATGTGTGTAGGCTTTCTCCTAGCACTGTATTCTACTGATGAGCCTCCAAAAGGAATCTCTTAGAACTCATTCTGCAATGAACACAGAACCTTTTTGCTGCTGTGAATGTATCTTCCATTGTGCTGAAATACCAGTTGTAGTTCTGGTAGGGTGTATTAGATGTGAGAGGTGGGGTTTTTTTGTTTGTTTGGTTTTTGTTTTTTTTTAATTTATTTTCCTGTAGCAATTGCCTGGAAAGTATTTTCTTGAAAGACATCACAAAGCCCAGTCAAAATTTGACATTCCAAATATAGTATTATGGTATTTAACAAAACATTTAACATACAAATTAGACAAGAGTAAACAGGGATTTTCTAGAATATGGAATAAATTAGATTCCAGATGGTCTGGAAGTTATTTGGGAGCTCCTTAATCTATATCCAGTCACCTTCTAGGAGTAGGTGTGTGGTGTCACTAAACAAACAGTAACTGTATAGCAACACTCAAAAGTTATAGAAATCCTCCATGAATTTCAGAACAGGGTTGAGACTAGGACTTTCTCCCTGCCCCCAGCATAAACCTGAGCTTCAATATAGATTGATGTGACTGTTCTTGCTAAATAATTTATACTGATGAGTAGATAATTTGTATTGATGGGTATGGAAATCTTACACTGAATTGAAATGGAAGCCTTCTGAATGTAGGAATAATTCTTTCAGTAGGAAGATTAGTTGACTGATAAGACTCTTGAGTGTTCACTTTCTACTTGATATTGTCAAAACTGTAAATGCAGCATAACTCATTGCTTGAGAAACTTAGTGAGTAGACAGACTGTTGCAGCAAAGCAGAATTTGTACTAACAAGCAAGCATGGCACATGACTTTCTAGAAAGCAAAATAAGTTGTTGCAGCTTTTGCTCTGTTGTAGTGTGTGTGTGTGTGCATGGCTAAGCAATTTAAAAAAGCAAAACCAAGTAGTTTGTTTAAGTCTGCCTATTTACCAAAGATAGTATCCAGAAGTCAGCTCTCTAAGCCAATTTCTTCTCAGTCTATCACTTAAACTAACCTATCGCTTTCTTTTTTCTTAATGCTGGCATTTAGTATACGCTCCATACAACATTCAATTAGCATGCCTATTATGAGGTAATGTATGCATAATCCAGCTGTTCGGTTTGTTTATTTTTGTGTGGAATCAAGTCAAATTGAACTCAAGTCAATTAATGTAGATTTAAAACAACCAAAAAACCCACCCAAATTTGTAATGGATTTCCTGTGCTAATATATAGGATAAAATTTTATTTATTTCTGCTTAATTCTGGAATGTGACCAAGTGTACTTCACTGCTGTTTGGAGAACTATAACAACCTTTCCCTGCCTGTTAGAAATGTAACACTACTAAACGATTCAAGTTTAAAAGGCAATAGTTTGCCATCTGTTTTAAACAATTAAAATAAAAATACTGTGGTTTCACAGAAAGTCTCTTGCTAACTTGGAGTGCTTGCCTTTTCTCTCCCCTTGCTTGGCACTATGTCACTCCATCTCCTGAGACAGTCTGGTTTGATAGATGTGTGTCACTGTGCTTTTCCAAATGAAACAGGGCTGCTAAGCGTGGGTGACCTATACAAAGGCCAAGCAAAGGGGGAAGGGAAGCTTAAGACCTCTTTTGAAAAAACCCTCCTGTCTTTAATTTTCATAATTTGTTGTTGAATCTGCTATGAATCCTTAGTCCTGGTCCACTGAAGGTAAGCATTTTCCATCCTTCATGAAGGCAGAAGAGGTGTACAAGCTATTGCGCATATTTGCAAATGGTAGTTGACAGCTAGTTGGAGCATTAAGCCACTCTTCTGACCCTAATAAATAATACACTGACCCTCAGCATTGAAAATCCCAAGCTGTCTTGCTCTTCACATGCAGAATTTTCCATTTGTAATTATAGCCGTCTCCAGCACTTAAAAAAGGGGGAGTCTCCCTTAAATTTAACAGCAGAAAAATGCCACTGCGAACCATGTTTTGTTAACTGAACACATAACTGTAGTTATAGTTTAATCTAATAGGCTTTCCTATAACAAGTGAAAAAAATCTGACAAGCCTTCTTCAGCAGTAATGTACTAGGTTAACCAGAAGTGGTGACTGAGCTTTTCTGAACAAATTCTTTAAGCCAGAAACCTGTTTGAAATCACTGGGAATAATACACTAAAAATACTTGCTAGTTCTCCTTTCCTTGTAATGAAAGATCCTGTCGCTGGTCCTGGCAATGCTTAGCTGCCAAAGGAACAAATGAGCTGCAACTTGAGTGTGTTTGAATTTTAGTTTTGTAGTACTTGGGGAGAGCCAGATCTAAACTACTTTTAGGCTACCTTTAAAACAAGAAAAGAGCCCCAGACAAATAAAACTCATGTTGATACTGGCAAAAGCAACTGTCTGCTTGTTTTCTGATATTTATAGACTAACATGATATGTTTTTAATTTTGTGGTTCCTTTTTTATTTTCCTAGAAATTCTCCTACTTTCAAATCCTTTGAGGAAAAAGTTGAAAACTTAAAGGTAAGCATTACTAAAACGCCTTGGCGATTGTGGAGCTGTGGAGAAAAGACTGAAGTGGGCTCTGGGCAGCGTGTTTTTTAGTTATTGGTAAACTCTTGAAGGTGCTTAGATGACATCTTTTTAAGTACTGTGGAAATGGTTTCTCTGCCTAATGGTTTGAGAATAAAAAATGGGTTTCCTGCACCTCTTAAAGGAGGATGCCTTTAATTAGAAGGACTAACAGCTAGTTAACCTGTACATACAGCTAGTATAACATGTAATTGGAATCAAATTGGACTGTTCTTGTGGACTGTCATTGGGCATTCCCTTGCAAACTAATTGACATTAACACTCCTGCCATCCCACAGGGCATATACTATAAAGCGAACATTACCTGGAGAAAATAAAATAGTTGCCATGCTCCACTAAAGATTTCAGAAATTGCAGAGTTTTAACTCTGAATCTTTCCAAAGCCTAAATGGCTTTAAAGGCTGTGTACCTATATCCAATTTTAACTAAGGGTGTGTCAACCTTCAGACTCCTTGGGAATCAGGGCTGCATCATGCTTTGTGTATATTGAAGTCAAAGGGAGACTGCTATGTTAATCTGATGATGATGATTTGTTTTCTGCGTGATACTTAAAGACTTGTCTTTAGAGTATTGTGGAGGTAGCTCAGTCCTGGAAAAGCGGTTCTGCTGGAAAGGACTTATTATATTTACTCGTGCAGAAGTACTGGTTTCATACAGTTAAGCGTTTTGGCGTGCCAAGTAACTACACTTTTATGTTGAGGCTCTCTCTGTGTTCTAGTCTAAAGTTGGAGGAAGCAAACCTGCTGGGGGAGACTTTGGAGAAGTTCTCAACTCTGCTGCCAATGCCAGTGCCACAGAAACTATTACAGAACAGACACAGGAGGAGACCCACTGAGATTCCTGCCTCTGTCCTGCTACCCACTGCCAGATGCTGCAAGCAAAAACTAAGCACACTTGTAACATTCTTTGCGCTCTTTCCACCAGATGTGCTTTTATTTAGCACGTAGCTGTTTTACCAGATTAACTGATACCAAGTTTGTTCATGGGTTCAAAATATTTTTGAAACTAAAATACACTGTTTGGGGTTTTGTGTGGGAAGGGGAATTTTTATGCCTTTCAAGCATTTAAAGGACTTATCTGTAATTTGAAGGCAACCTTTAAAATATAGCAATGAAAAAAATACTTTTGAGAAGTTAATTATACTGTACATATACTGTGGATACATAATTTGTTTTGAATCTGTAACTACTGTTCAACTTAATCATTATGTATCTACTGCTGCTGCCAAACCGAAGCTTTAGTCCCTTGTGATTATTTCAGTTAAGTGTTGCCTGCCCGGGATACTGGACTAGGAGGATCACACCCAGCTAAAGAAAGGACTTCTGCTTCAACAGGCTTTAAACAAGTTATTCATAGCAGGATTATACATGGATAGGAATGTACTGTCTTAGAAGCGTGTTCCTCATACAACAGGTGTGGATAGGGTAATACATAACATCTAAAATTTACTGATTTGTCTGTGGATTGTCCACCTAGGAAACTTCTGACCATGGCGACTGGAAGTGAGGTGCCTAGTAGTGCCGGTTTGGTTCAGTTACATTTTCAGTCTTGTTTTCTGTACATGATGTTAATGTGGTAAGATACATTCTTCTGAACTTTTGATCAGTCATGAATAGATTCATGTTAATTCACGCATGGTCATGTCACATTTACACTAACAAAGCACAGACTGTAAGGCATCAGAATTGCTCTCAAATGCTAACGTTTCCTTTGTAGGCTGGCCATCAAAAATATCTACGCTGTCTTATTTTTTGATGTGTTACAGGCCTGTGCCACTACACCCTTATTCCTGTTTAAGACCACATAAATCTGTTTTAAGAGGTGCAGTGCCATGCTACACCATAGTTCTCTTACAAGATCTATTCTCCTACATGTTTCTTTATCTGATGTACTTTTCAAATTTCTTGTGTTTTGTATGTTCTGGCACGTGGTGTGGGTATGGTTAGAACTTTAAGCAAGTGTTTCATCACTGTGCTTCGAACTGGAAACAAGTTTCAAAACAGTTGTGAGAAATCCATGAAACTTCAACTGCCATAGATGTCTGGAGGAAAAAAGCCCTGGTTCCCGACAACGTTGTTAGCATGTCAGATGTAATATATACGCTTAATTACATGTGAGAAGCTTAATAAAAATCTGTATCTAAGGAATGTATTGTCCTATGAATATGGAGGGTTATATAAGGAAATTTTATTTCTAATTGAAAGTCCTTTAAGCTTGGTTTCTATTACTGCCCTAGGGCCAATCTTCATGAATTAGTTTGGCACTTCTAGAGAAGACTAGGCCTGGATTGATTTTGAGTGCCTTACATCAAATTAAACTGCCTGATTACATTGGGAAGTTCAGAAAATGGGCTGAGATGTACCTTCTGCCTCTGGCAGCTCCACCTTAACAAAGGAACGGAGAATGAAGTGACACAGGGACTGGAACTATTTCTCTCTAGGGTCAGTATGGTGTAGGGCAGCTCCTTCTGGAACATGATCCTTGTTCTGAGGGTCATTTACTGCAGAGGTAGGCTTTCTGGTTTTGGTTGTGGGGTGTTTTTTGTTTGTTTGTT